CCGCCGGGCACTTCTCAGATCTATTGCACATATGATAGGCGCACTGGATACTCTAAAACCTACAGCCGCCGGCAAGAAGCGGTTCAGATATCCGTAATAAGAACAACCATTACAATACCGGTGCAACCTAGGCCGTAGACTTGGGCACCCACCCTAAGGTCCAGATCCGAGTAAAGTGGGTAATCCGGAGAACATCTCGACATCCAATCCGCCAGCTCCGGTGCTCAGTCCCGCTAGCAACTCGACAGGTCGGCCATCCGCTCATAACCCAGCCGGCGCGGGCGATATTGGGTGTTATCTGTCATACCTGACCAAAAACCATGCACTGCTGTCGGTGCTCCGGGGCACCCTACGCTAAAGATGAATGGACTAGACGGCCAGGAATATCGCACTAATTCACAAACTATCCAGGTTCACACTTCTAGTAAGTAAAGGGCGGGAATGAAGTGGAGGGACCAGGGGGGCGGGGGGGCGGGCTGACCCAAAAAGAAGCGATCGCAAGACGAGACCAAGAAGAGACCAAGAGGGGGGGCTGGTTACCAAATTATGTAGATCAGAACATCTGATTGTCCACAAAAGTAGGAGGGCAAAAGCCGACGGGCAGGAATAATTGCAACCCTAGTAATACAAGATTCGAGCGCGGGGGAGGGTACTGTCGTACGTCTCCTGGACACCCCCGGGAGTTAATGGGTTTTTCCTCGGCAGGCGATGTCGGCGTTCATTGGTGGGTCCCCGGCACAGGAGGCTTGTCAGTTGTAAATAGCCAGAGTACTTACTAGCTATATAGGGTCACCAGGCTTGGAGAAGAAAATAAAAAGAACCAAGAAAGGTTTTATTTAGTGTTCCACCTGCTGAAGACAGATTCACTTCTCAATTTGCCGAGATCTGTGTGCTTCCCTTCGATTTTCTTGTCCTCTCTTCTTTGAAAGGGTCCCACCTGTCTCCCTATATAGTACTGTACAACTTTTGCAACAGACAATCCAAGGATCTATAGCAATCGGTCTGCGTGGAAGGATGACGACCGTCCACATATGATGAGTATTAATCCCCACGCGAGTTAAGACAAACCACAATGTATGCTCAATAGTACGGAAATCTACACACCACCAGAAAGAATCAAATAATAAGAGAAATATTAGGGGAGAAAGGGTCGATTGGCTGCCATGAACATGACTGAGAGGAAGGCAGGCAATCCTGGTCTCGGCTATTCACCTATCCCCCACGATCTCTCAACATCCCACGACACCCATACGGATAATTCTTTGATAAAATACCCCAGCTACCGGTGATAAAGTCCCTAATCAAAGGTGATTTGATTGTCACTCTCGCCTGGGACATTGAGGAACTCGCTCAGTCAGAATGTAACTTGCGTGATTTGCGGCATCAGTAATGCCCTATACAGGTCAGCATGAAGTAATTTCCCTCCTTAAGCATTGGCTCACAACGGACCAGCAGTGCAAACTGCAATTCTCGAATCAGAGTCCCACCTCAAGATCTCCATAGAGCCGGCAACCCTCCCGACCCAAACGAATCCATTGTAGACAGTTGGCCCATATCAGTGTTCCCAACCGTCCAGAGGCCCGGCGGGGCCCCATGGGGGGACTACCAAGAGCCCTAGATAGGACGGCCATATGGAGCCCACCCTAGGCAGCGAAAGGGGAGGGCCGCCGTCTTTAGGTAGAAAAGCGGGCCCTACGGGGTGAAACGGCGTTGGTAAGGGGGACAGTGAGGGACCTCCGGGGATGGTAGGGGATTACCAGGGGCGGCAGGGGACTGCCGAGGAACAATATATTATACCACAAAGAACCTCAGAAATGGTTGAAACCTTGTGGCTGACGAGGTCATTTTGTTCATAGCATTTCAGGTAGTAGGACTGCAGTCCTCCGTAGTTGCCCTAGCACTGCCGAAAAAACAGACTACTGGCTATAGTCCGTCCCGTCCTACCCCAGAGATGGACAGACTGGACGGTTGGGAACACTGGCCCATATGAGCTCTTAAGAGTGAATAGGTGCATCCTAATCTCGCACATCTGGTGAAACTTCAACTCATTGAATCCCTAATCCGTGAAGCCTCGAGTTGGGCGCCGGAAGACCTGATACTCGTGGATCTTCACCAGCATAACCACAGAAACAGCTTCCCTGCCCTCGAGCCACACCCTAGCATCCTCAACTAGCATGTCGTATGTCTCGGGGAGATCTACCTCCAGGACAAACCTCACCTCCGGCACCCCAATAGCCTTCCTGATTTATAATGCGAAATCGCGGACCTTCTCAGACCCCTCCTCCCCATCAAACTTGTTGAATTGTTTGTTTCCCACAATTCCAACCCTATTTTTGATACCGGATAGAAGCGTACCACGTGCCAAAATGAAACCTTCCGAGACGGTTGATACAACCCTCTGATGTAAAGTCCCCGAAATGCGTTAGAAGCAGTGTTCCCAAGAGCCTAGTCCGTCCGTCCTTGGCTTCGGACGGGACGGACGCTAGTTTCTAGAACCCTGCCCTAGGCGGACGGCCGTCCTGTGGTCCGTCCAACCTAAACCAGGAACGGCCGGCCGGACCCTATAGGTGTCTCACCTGCAAATAGCGGTCGGGCACCGCAGATGACGGCCGGGCCTATGAATGACGGCCGGAAGATGCCATTTGTATTAAGACTCCCGAGCCCGGGAGTCAACCCCTCGGACGACGGTCTTTGTCAGAGACAGACACCATGCCCTGCCACCCTTGCCCACCCTGCCTGGGACGGTTAGGAACACTGATTAGAAGGCGGGTGTCGAAGATGACGAATTATACAAATATCTCGGAAACCTAGCGCTACTGAGTAAATGAATTGGAGGCTCGAAGGAAGGTATTCCAACCTTTCACTTGCACCGCGAGTGCGCTCCCACGCTAATTCTTTAGAGAGTCAAACTGCCCTTTCCCTGCATGCCAGTCCTTGAAATTCTGTACACAACTGTGCATCGAAGTGGATTTCCCAATGCTCAGAACTTGCTCCTCTCAAAAAAATCTCCTCCCCACGAGGTATCCGGGCGCAGGGAATATTTCGAGATGCGAGGGATTCAAAACGTGCGGGTGCAACGGGTGACAACGTCCTCACGGCTCGCCCAGTGGGGGCAATCCGAGATTGAGGGAAATTGGTGCGAGTGGTGAGTGAAACCGAGGCCCACTGTGTCCGCGAGGGGAAATGATTTTGACCGTCCCGAAAAATCATTACCTGTCTAAAGATAGCGAACAGAGTTATCAAGGTGCCCTTCCAGAGGGTTGGGAAGTGTTTACCCAGAGTGCTGTCCGGAGTGATTCGCGATGATTGCAACCGCACCTCTGAAGCAAGGTCACATTTTAGCAGTCCGGGACAAAGAAGCCGAGACAGCCGAACCCCAAGCAAACGCTTCTCAGCCGTGGGTTGTAGACTAACGTAATTCTCAAATCGACGCGACTACCTATGCCACTACTTCAGTATATAAATTTTTGACACAGAGTGTTAGGTGAAGAGCCCCTACAAGGAATACATTTATTCAAGTGATGACTGAGGATATGAGGGCAGCATGGGAGGGTGATGGCGAATTAGAAGGGAAACGAAAAGAAAGGAAAAGAAAGCTTGCCAGCTATGGGTTGGGGTGAGGAGGGAGATGAAAAGTGGCAACATTAATAGACTGGCACGACGCAGCAACCCCGTCCCAAGGCCCAAGACCCAGTTAACCAGGGATCCAGCAGTACCGCCAGACGTTTTAATGGACTTGGGACTGGGGGCGAATATTTGCGCATCAACAATGCTGCATCGCCGGTTAGCCATGGATTCCTTGGCATTCTATGCAATATCGGAGCATTCATAGTGACTCCCGAGCACATGTTTGAAAAGAGAGATACAACGACCTTCGGAATTTGCTCTTGCCAAGCTCCGCAAAAGAAGGCCTGGATCGGAAGTGGACCGACTGTATCATACCGGCACTAGTACTGGAGCTCTTGGACCCTCAAAGCTTCCAAAAATTTTCCGCCGCCCTATCACTGCCCTTAGCAAGAAGCAGTGTTACCGGCTACTGGAGATCTGCTGCCGTGCATACTCCGCTATGCGGGCGCTGCCACAAGTACTCGGGTATGCCCAAGCCATACGAGAAGCCATTAGAACTAGAGCAATCACCCAAAGCACGCAACGTCTCGGACGACGGCAGGGATGGCAAGAGGTTTTCAAGAGTTTCAACAATCCAGAAGTTACCGGTAATAGATGGTCCGAACAAACAGGCCCGGGTGGTCTCAACACAATGCGAATGGCAAAGCTTGGCCACCAGGTTCTCCGATCTCATCCAATAAGATGTGAAAGCCGTCAAGTCGGACCCGAAATTGAGGCCCATAGATTCCAGCCACCACTATACCGGTACTCTCAGCCTTTATCAGAGTGTGATCTCGAAGGAGCGCTCCCTGAGTATAATTCTAGCAAGAATGATTCCAAGATACTCGAGGATTGGCCATTGTATGGCATCTCCAAAGGGCCCAATGCGAGTGGCAGCCTCTAGCAACACTATCGAGAACTCCCACATCGGTCAGACAGAGCAACCCCTCCCCCCCATCCGATCTGCAGGATTTGACGAAATTTTAATTCAAATTCAATAAAACACGAGGCCCAGACCGGTAGAGCTAAAGTCCTCCGCTAGCGGCTCGACAAATAAACGTTTCCGATCCGAATATCTGAAAAGGATTTACTCGAATAGTCAGCCTTACCAACCTTTTAGGCATATGGTTGCCCCCGACCGATGGGTAGACCTGCCTTTTGTCGGGGCATTCACAAGATACTACCAGCCATAACAGCTAAGTTGTTTATCCGACTCTCTTTGTTATCGTTGGTTGCGTGGTGTAGCTGGTTATCACATCTGTCTCACATATGACAGAACACAGGAGGTCCCCGGTTCGAACCCGGGCGCAATCAATTTTTTTCATCAACACCACTTTTATCCTTGATTTCTTCTACCGGTATTATCACTCCCCCATCCCTGGTAACTTTACTGCCTATCCAGACGTGGCGCACTCTATCCCACCGCCACCATCCCGTTCGGCAATTAACCTCCACAGCAAAACACGCTGCCTAAGAACCTCTGTTCTACCCACCTCCTCTAAAGCCCCTAGTTCCGCCTCTACATCTGTCACTCTAGTAGAACTGCTATCCTGCGAAGACATGGAATGTGTCGGCGACGAAGGCAGCAGTGCCGAGACAGCGGCAGCACGCTTCAACCTTAACGCAGAGGTAAGTGGGGAGTCAGGACCCCATGTCATATCCGTAGTAGATGAGCTCGCCAAACTGGGCGGCACTTTCAACCGCGGCAGATTCCTTGGGCTTGCACCATGCAATAAAGAAGAGGGCGATGCGGTAGAATGGGGCACAGCCGGGTACGGTGGGAGTTGATACGGCGGCTGCTGCGTGCTGGGGGTAGGCTCCGAGCATGCTCGTGATGGTGGAAGCGGGTATGCCGCTGCTATCGCTGGGTCAAGGAGCTTTGGAGAAAGAGGAAGTTCAGGGGGTAGTGGTATCCAGTCGGCAATTCTGGAGGTGAGGTCTTCTGGATCGGCTGAAATGCTGGCTTGGCTCCGACCCTCCCGAGACCGCCGGTGCAGAGTAGACTTCTGATACTGGCGCCCGGACGTAGAACGATTCGCGTTGAGACCCTCCGCATGCGCAGAAAGGCGAAAAACGTAACTGGAGGCTATAGAATCCAGAGAGCCCGAACTGCTACTACTGTGTTTTTGTCCCCCTCCCCCCACCCCCCCCCTCCTGCTTCTCCCTCATCCTCCTCATCTTGATTCGTACGCCCAATGACAGCCCGAAAATCGCCCGAGTCGTGACATATTGTGGCCTCTTCACCAGCGCAGACAACATTGGTGTTGAGTTCAGCAGTGTTATTTGAAGATTCGATTGGGAGCGGGCCTAGCGGTAGCCGCAAGGTCTGGACCTTCGCTACATCGCTGAATTCCACGCTTGTCGGGATTGTCGACGCAGGCGCAACCTTGGAGTTGTGGATACCGAGAAGCGAACCTGGCGTTACACTGTCCAGTGAAAGTGCGGGGGTGGTGTTAGCAGACTGGTGAGAGAATACTGGGAAAAACAATTAGTTTTTGTTTGTTTTTCCCTAAAAAAAAAACCGGAGGCACACCAGGTGAACGAACCGGCCGTCGATTGCGAAGATTTGACTTCTATGGTGGATGCTGGCCGCGGCCGGTAATGCTGTGACATTTTAGTGTAGAGATGGTACGGAAGTGGGGCGAGGAGGTTGGTAGACAGAGGTGAAGCAAGTCAGCTCAAAATACCGGTAGATCAGGAATCGGTATTGGCATTGCTTGGCGTGTGTTGGGATAGACCCGGACCGGTACTGTACCGGTATTATCGGCAATTGTTCAGTGCACTTCAGCCCAACAAGCACCGGTATTCATAGCAATATCCCTGCTTGGCAACCGGAAAAACCACAATTATCCGAACCCGCGTCCTGTCGTTCGCCCAGCACATACTCATGCTACCGCACTGGTACGATACCTGCCGAACCCGCCACCTATGAAGACCGGAATCATGAAGTATCCCCGGATCACTTGGGAGTAAATACCCTGGCACATAGCGAAAGACATAACGGGCAATACTCAATAAAAAAACACCGAATTAGACTGGCCCACCTTTTCCTCCTGTCACCAGACGATCTCGGTCCGTCCCCCACTAAGCTATGGTCTGCGCGTGTGATGTATTAAGATTATGCTCCTTGAATCCATTGTCCTAACTAGTTGTATCCTCCGGCAGAGCACGATAGTGATTCACCTCCACCTGGCTACTGGCTCGAGCCGGCCCGACTCAACAAATGGAGTCGAGGCTCGGGAATTAAGGCTCAAACCTGATTTTGTTGGTAGTCACTCGTTATCACTCGCTAAAACCAGCATCCAGGGGATCCGTATATTTAACCTGAACGGAGGATATGTTCCAAATATCAAGTGTGTAGATAAACGGATCTCCAGAACTCCTGCTCCAAATATATTGGTTTTCTGCTTAGCCAGCTCCCCCAGCTTGTGTAAATCAATCCAGAGGTGTATGTTCACTGAAAATTGATTTGATTTCCTCTGTTTAGGATTCCTCATTGCCATCTAACCTACTCCCCGATCCTCAACCTCCCACGAGTCCAGTCAAATTTAGGAGTAAGGTGGGATCTGCACTAGGCTCCCCGCTCCGAGTTAGGCCATCAAAGGTGTATGTGTGCAAACGGCTTCCTCGGCATGGGAAAATTCAAAGTTATTAAATTTCTTTCTCCCTTGCCTACTAGTACCTCCACGACATATACAAGGTAACCACTCTCTTCCCTTTTCCTTTTCCTTATCGATTTGAAAAGAAAAAATAAAACTGTTTGGAAAATACCGAGCTTAGCCCGAGTGCGGTTCGGGCCCAAGTTTAGATGAGCTCGAGTCAGCTCGGCCCGGGGGTATGTGCCGGCTCGCGGGGCTCGGTCCAAACGCTCGGCCCAAAAGCTCGAGCCAAACCCCCGAGCTGCTCGACTCGTAAGGAACACTACTTGCCTCCATGCATTTAATATTTGGAACATATTCTCCACTCAGGTTCTCCGTACAGCTCCACCTTTGGATGGCTTGATCGAGTGATACCAAGTGAATATTAGCAAAACCGGGCTCGAGCCTATTTCCTGGAGAGCCGGCTCGTGAGGAACACTATGCCCTACCACAGTTGACCGCAACCATAAACTCAATCCGGGTAATATAGAGTTTTTTATCTTAAGAAATTCCCCTCTCTCGGTTTCTTAGTTGGTTTCCTCGCCTCCCCGTTTCTTTTCTTCCTTTCCTTCAACAGGCCACCCCGTCCACTCCGTCAACGGCTTCACCTTCCCACCCTTGACTCGTCCCTTGTTTTGCATCTCCACAGCCAACACAACACCCGCTGTACCAATTGCCCCCTCGGCCAATTATTGTAAGATACCACTCCTCTACACCCCCGTTTCTTTATTTATTTATTGCTTACAACCACTGTTAGTGAGCTTCAATAGTCCTCTTATTGGTAGTCTCTCATCATGAACGAGGCCGACTGTCTTCCAGGGTACAGTTGGTATGTATGCAACGCTCCGGGCAGGGGATACAGAGGCTGCTGCGCCATTAATGCTTGTCGCTTGGGATGTGCCCCTGAGTACCAGCAGGGGAATGACCAGACCACTACTGCTAACCCAACAACGACTACGACCTCAAAAAGAAGAACTGTCACCTCAACTATCACAGTTTCTCTGAAGAGCGCTACTACCTCATCGGAAGCCGGAAATACCTCTCTGAGATTATTTTCTACACTCTCCACGTCTTCGATTCCAATTCTATCTGTTAGTATCTCGGAAATTCCAACCTTCACCTCCTCTACACCCTCAACTCCAACCATATCAATTGGCATTTCGGAAATCCCAACCCTCACCTCTGCCAGCATGGTCTCCGGGACCAGCAGGGCCGGAGCCGAGACAACTATACCAATTAGTAGACAAAGGGATCCCAAGACTCCAGTAATCACAGGAGCCGTGGTCGGTGGCTTTTTTGGCTGTATTGCACTCTTTGTGGTGGGATGCTGGGTATTCCGTAAACTTAGGAAATCTAAGACTGCCAAGGACGTTTACCAAAGCCCTACCCAGCCTTCAGCTCCCCGCGTATCCTCTCCAATTCCCTGGACAAGCACCAGAGTACTTGATGCAGCATCATCAACAGCTGGCACAACGTACAGTGGTCCATCAACTTCACTGCAAACTAGTCCTCCGAAACCACCAACCGTTCCATTGCAGCGAGCCGAACTCGCGGGATCACCAGCAACCCCCACAACCCCACAGGCACCCATTGAACTCCCATTAGAGCGGAATCCTGCCCCACGTGTGAGCATCTACGATCCGTCTACACTCTCCTTGACTGTCCAACGCGAAGCAGCGACATACTTGCCCCGTCGCTCCCTTGTACCCTTGATTGGGAACCATCACCTTCGCCGCCCACCTAGACGCAGGGGTGACTCTGAACCCACCGGCCGTCTCCCAGTCGTAGGCAGAAGTATGGGTAACCTCAATGCTTATGGCCCTCGCCAACCGGGACAACCAGGAACCCCCTCACACCACCAACGAGAAGCCGAGAATTCAAGCCACATCAGACACTTGTCATGGCAGGATTGGGCCGAACAAGGAATATATATGACTCGTGGCCCGGGAGCTGCCGTACCAGCGGCAGCAGGGCAAGGGAGCAGAGCGGCCGACGCCAGAGGAGATCAGGGAGCAGCATCTGTCGCCGGCTATGAGCAAGCTGGCAATAGTCATGATGGACAGGGTCACAGCGCGGAGGCACAGCCCAAGGGCCAAGGAGGAGATACCGGCAGACCGACTATGCATCCAGGCGATAGGTACAGCTACTAACAGACTCGGATGGAGGGAAACGGTATAGAGGTCAATCGGCAAAGTTGTTTACTCAAATATGCATTTTGACTATGCATTTTTCCTGTAATTCCCAGAGTTTATACCCGAGCGGGGGAGATAAAAAAAATCTGAGAGCAGTGATGTACTAGTAGTGATTGGCTTTAGGCGCGATCGCAAAAAAAATTGGCCCCCGCCGGTCAGCTACTTGAACAAATAAAAACCTGCTGATTATTATTTTAAAGCTGTTCATGGAATTTTTCCTCCCTTAACGTATATATACCCCTACATGCGCACATGGCTTATGAACTTCGTTTCCACCACCCTCTGAAGTCCTGTTCACAGATTAGCTTTTGTGCCCGAGTAACATAGATCCTAAAATCTACTTCTTACTCCTTCCCCTTCCCCTTCCTATCGCTTCCCTAAATTCTAGCTTTCATCTACTCGACCGCACCCCTTGTTTTCTCTCCCTCTCTCTCTCTCTCTCCCAAACACCAGCTCTACTCTTTAAATATTTGATTCCAGAACCTCTCCCCTTCCATTCTTGCACTCATTGACCATCCCCTGACTCTCACAAAGGATAAAAAGGAAACGAAAAACTGCGCCCGCCCATAACCCAATTTGTTTTCTCCCTTATCCACCTTTACATTTCACAATGCGTACATAAAAGAGGAGAAGAAGAAAAATTCTACACGAAAGGCCTCACCCAAAGCGATTAACTAGCACACGACCATCGCTTTTCTGGAAAATCAGCCAATTTTATCCCCAGTATTCCTCTGAGTAGCTATAGCTGCAGCCAAGCGGGTACCTGGGACCAGAGCATAACACCACCCTCCCCACACCAATCCCGAAACAAGCACACAGTGATCAACTCAATCTATCCCTCCACCTATCCCCCGCCATAGCCTTACCCGCGGTGCACCCGGAGCAGCGCCCGCAAGCCCTTTCCAATAGGAAGCATGGGGGGAAAATAATGAGAGGAATAATAGTATTCCTCACAAGCTACCAGAGTCGAGCCTTGCCACTGCTTCGAGCTAACTCGGCTGGACAGCAAATGGGCTCAAGCCTACCAAAATCAGTGTTAGCGGTGACCAGAGCTGATGGATTGACCAGTGCTGATCATGGATATGGTCAATGACCAGTGGTCAGTGGAAGGGGGTGACTGGGTGATGGATTGTTAGAGTTATGTTGGTATACCTGCGATCAGGGGACTACTCTTTGTGACCAACGATACCTATAATAACTGCAATACAGAGGTACAGCTCTTAAGTTTTGCATGTTTTACTTGCACGGGGTGCTCGGCTAGCATAGGTAAAGGTGTATGGTGCCAGAATGAAAGACTGTAAACCAAGTGGCTGAGGCAAATGCAACAGTGGCTGTGCTAAAAACTTGCCAAGACTATGAGTGATAGATTGTGCACACTGCAAAATATGAGAACAGAAAATATCAAATTAAGTTAATATAACATTCTGTGAGTTTGAAACTCGTCTATGACTTCTGTATGTTTTGGTAACCCTTTCCTTAAAGTCAGCACTACCATAAGCAACCCCAGCTTCATATGCCTTCATCATTCTTTGGGTCCATGCCCAAAACTTCCAGATAAGAGTTGGTTTTACTGAGTTTAAAGACTCAGGAACCATTTTTCTTAATGCCTTAATACTATACCCACACCTTTTACGTGCATAAAGCTTTGCTGCCCCCCAATAGTATTCTATAAAGTTCAGCTCGCAGTGATATTTTGGGAAAAAGTGTATCCGATGTCCTACCAACTCCACCTCTTCCTCTAACCTGCTTCTTTGAGCTTTGAAGTCAGGTTCTTTGGCAATCAAAGCCCTTGCACAACAGGTGCCTCCCGAGAGGCATTGCTTTTTCAGGTTGCCATTCTCTTTACGGCACTGTAGGCGTAACCTGGGCCTCCACAATCCTCGCTCTTCTAATACTATTCGAAGTCCTTTCGGTGTACTATCAGTCATTACCATTTCTTGAACCCCACCAGTAAGGGAATTTTGGCCAGCCCGAAGGGCAACCTGCTCACCACCAGGACATAAATTCATGGCAGAACCTCTCAATGCATTGACCGAATATGCAGAGTGGCTGGTTGCATTGTCGAATAGAAATAATGCTTCACAGCCTGGAAAAGCTGTTTCAAATATAGGGATAGCAATTTTCAAAACTTGTTCAACAAGCTTATCACCATCCCACCACTTTTCACCACCATATTCAATTGAACAAGTGGCAAAATGGGCATCGAGACGATTGAGACAGTTGTCTGAAGCTTCGTACTGAAGAAGTGATGGGATCTCAGTACCATGAGGGACTTGCAGTCTTCCCCCAGGAAAAAGAAAGTCAGAAACCATAATTCCTTTACCACGGGACTTCTTCTTCAGCAACGTATGATCCTCCTTAATCCAAACCTTATTGCGCCCATCATTGGCATTGAATGTTGTTTCATCATGGACAATTGGAATAATTGGCCGTACACCAGGGGGGAGATTTGTTGGATAGATTGTTTGTAGAGTTTCGCCATTTGGGGTTTCAACCAGCTCCCATCGTACCATTCGATCCTCTAGGGCTCTTAGAGTTGGTAGGAAGACATCTTGACGATATTGAATAACATCATCTCTCTCATGTCCATCCTTGTATACTCCTTTCCTTACATCCTTGTATTTATACCCCATTTCATGGAGCCATTTGGCTGCAGTTCGAGAGCTGAGGGTTGCTTGAATCTGGCTTCGTTCTTTGGCAAGCTGTGCCAGTTGGATCTGAGTTTCGACCGTATATGGCTTCAGTGGATCTTTCAACTCAGGCTGCTCCTCAAAGGGGAGTATTCCAGTCTGCCAATAGGTTGAAATGGCAAATGCAAGATGCTGGCCTGTAACTCTCTCAGCTGCACCAGCCAGGTATTCCCGTAGTGCAAGTCTTGTCCCTTCATCATCAATTAGACGATGCAGCATAGGTGATTTGCTTTGCTGAGAAACTGCCAACTTCCGACCCTTGATCCAAGACTTTTCATGATATAAAATACGGTTTCTCACACGTTGACCATTTCCTCCAGTGGCTGCAATCATTGAGGCCGCTTCCATCCGTGTTTTCTTCCAAAATGGCTTAGTGAGTCCATACCGTTGAAAACGAAGAAACTCTAGGACCTGAATGTGGTAAACCAGGTCCTGCCCCTTAGGCTTTCTTCTGTTTGAGTTGAGCAACTTCCGCATATCATGAATAGCTAATTTATTTGTTAGCTATTTTCTATACACATCATAACCAAAATCAGTAGTGATAAGATTGACTTACCATCTGACAGAATGCTATACTTGAAGCGTATTGCTTGATACTCTGATAAGCGTGGCCAGCTCTCTAGAGCTATAGCTAATTGCTCACTCTCCTGTAACTCAGAATCTTCAGACTCTTCTCTCTCTGCTTCTACGGCATCTACCTCATCTGCTGCCTTCTTGTTAGAACTTAACTCTTCTAACCATCTTGCTTTCTTCTAAGTAAATAACTTACCCTCTACCCTTGCAGGATTTACTGCTTGTAATCTCTCTTCTTGCTCTGCTCACTTCCTTCGCCTCCAAATCATCTGCCGGCATGGGGCCTTGACTTCTGATTGCTCAATTTGCCTATCATGATTTGCCTCTACTATTTATTACCAGTAAACAATTAGCTGATATTAATTGTATCTTATTAGACCAGGATTAAAGCTTACCTGGATGCTGTAGTTCTAAATCACTCTCAAGATCCTCAATCGTGGATATAGGGTCAACAGAAGACTCTGTATTTTCAGTATCCTTTTTAGGCCTTCCCCCCAGCCTGCCAGCAGCACGGCTCTGACGTTTTCGCTTATTGATTCCAGTCATATTGTATATGGTAGGCTGGTTGTATATTTTCACTTATTGCAGTTGTGCTGTATTGTTTATTGCATTTCTCTGCCTAATTTATTGCTTAGTCAGCCTTTTTTGTGTTGCATTATTCTGCTCAAATCTATATTTTCCACCTAAACTAGACACTTTTAAAGCAAGATGCCACTTTTCCAGCCTTTTCTTAATGAATAAAAAAACCGTACTTTTATTCTACTTTACTTTGCCTACAAATCTACGCTTTTTTTATTTCTTTGGCACAAGTATTGGATGCTGCATCCTCCTTTGAAAGTACCCCTTAATCTGGTTTACACTTATCCATTCTTGCACTATAATTCCCAGCGAAAGTCACGATTCTATTCCCACAAACCCTAACCCACCATTTCATCGACCCCTGCTGTGATCAGTCCTGACCATCGATCATGGCATGAAGGGGGGAAGGTGACCAGTAGTTGCTGATTTCAGGAGAGACTAGCGGTCACCGCCAACACTGATCAAAATCGGCTCTGTAATTAAGGCTCCAGCCTAGTTTTGCTAACGTCACCTGGTATCACTCGCAAACCAGTTATGAGGTGATCAGTATAAGTGAGCCCTAGTGGAGTATCATATATGCCCCAACTCTTAAACCCACAGAAACAAATATCATACCAAAATTTCTTCCGCTACAAAGAACACTAGCTTTCTACATATCCCCCTTGGTTTGTATCATAGCGATCAACCAAGGGCTGTATGTTTACGGAATATCTAATGGACTACCCCTCCACCATACTTGAAGTTCCTCGTTCGCATCTAACCCACGCCTGATCCTCACCCTCCCTTGAGCCTAGCGGACATTTCCAGGAGTAAAGTGGAACCTGTACTCGGCCCCCTTATCTCTCCCCGCCCTCTCCCTTCCTTACCGATTCCCGGAAAAGAAACAAAAAAGCCCCCCGATTGAGAAGAGCTCGAGCCAGCTCGGCTTGTAAGAAACTCTAGGTAGGACCCCAGCTCAGTACGAGCGCACGCTCACCCTATAGAACACATAATCCAACCTCTCCGCACGGCCAAAGTTCCCAATCGCGCAATCGCGGGGTGGTACTGGCCCCCCCTCCTGGCATATTCCAACATGCCCTGTGCTCCTAATTATGCCAACACGCAGACCACTACTCACCGGTGAACAAGGCAAAAGAGGGAGGAGGGCATAAGGTAATCCCCCTAGGACAGGCACAGATCTACCCCACAGCACACTCAGCACTGGGCTAACGCACGCAAAAGTTCTGCTGAAGTAAGCACTGACGAACGTTATCTCCTGCGCAGGGTTTAACAACTGAGGACTAGCTCGCCAAGGTACCGTGAGTTATTATAGGTCAAGGGGTATATACTAACACAAACCTTGAGCACTGGTTTCACTGGCAGCAGAGGTATCATATGCTGCTATAGCTAGGCCACCCTATCTAGGGAGTGAGATTGTTTTTATAGAATTTTGTATAATACTGTATAATACGTTTTAAACCCCGTATATTATTCCAAAATACGTATTTTATTCGTTCATCAAATCTTAGTGCCTGAAATTCTTTACAACTGACTACAAGTAAGAGCCAGGAAGGAAGGAAGGAAAGAAACACGCCAGTTTAGAGTAGAGAGTCTACAGATACAAGATGGTCATTATCTCATTGTCCTAACTAACGAATTCATAGCCTCTCAGATCTCCCGGCAGTTTCTTCTACAAAAACTTGAACTCTAATTTCAACCGGAGATATTAGAATAGATACCAGGAGATTTGATTTCTATCAACTCAAGCATGCACCTTGGGCTCCCCTTCACCCATAGGTGTCAAACTTGGTATGATAGAAAGATTTAGCCTATGGTACGGTCCGTCCAATCTATCATCTCATATCTACATTAGGAAAAAAGTCTGCTGAAAATCCTACCCGTTTAGAGTTTAAGGAAACTTTGCTACTTAGGACTGGTGTACAGTACCAGGGTTATAAAATTTAGGGCATGTATGGATCGTATGGTATTGTATAAAACGGGAGGGCAAATATACACGTATATTATTATAACATGCGTATATTTGAACGCCCTAACCCTATCCCACAGGATGCGCGGGTGAATACTACCTCCGACTGGAGCGATACCACCAACCCGAAACCATTGAGAAGGCGTCATAAATGGGACACTTCCTACACAAAAAAAATATAAAAAAAATATTAAAAAAACTATTCATTTATTTATCCCCCAACTCCATGAGCTATCTATCCCAGGTCGCGTGGGCTGGTGCATCGCCAACAGCCGGGGAAAAAAAAAAGCCCCATCACAACCAATCACTCGCTTAAATATCGAGCCATCACGACCAACGATCCGAATCCCTTATAGTGTTATAATGCCCACACCGACAAGCGCGAGATTTGTTCTTGTTCGTGTTCATTCGTTGGTCGGGTGCGGACACGGCCCATCGAATTCTTCGCTTCCGGTAATGTTGAGCGGGGGATTAATCCCCCGGGAGGGTTGTGAATGGGTGGGATCCCCCAGTTTTCGGGGCTGGCTGGTTCGTGTACTGTGTCGCTCTTCCAATGGGTGGTTGTGCGGATCTTGTGCGGATCTCGTGCCGGTACCACACTGGAATTTGGGCAACTCCCCGGGTGGAAATGCCGACCGCACGGTGAGTGTACTTGTACTGTAGTTACTGTACGAGTTGGTTGGGTTCTATATTAGCCACTGAAGTTAATATTAGTTTGTGAATGCCCGGGTTCTTGGCTATACTCACGAGAGAATTGACATGGAAAAAAAGGATGCGCTTATACTGGCCATTTCCTCCAGCGTCTTGATGTGACTTTTTATTTTTATTCCTATTTCTTATTTTTACCGCGATTCTACAGAGCATAGTACCTGTATAACGATCAACTAACAATGAATCATATCCAAGAGCTAAGCTATAATATGCAAGTACCGATATCACTACAAAATTACAAACAGAGCAAGATAACACAACAATACCTCCTTTTCTTTCCCGAAACCCCTCCCAACCCATCTAACCATCAATGCATCCACCAATCAGCCAAGCCAGCCATTCATTCATCCTCTGAAACTGGAAAAAATGACAGATTAAAGTCCGGAAAAGCAAGAGCCAAAAGAAAAAGAAGCTAATTCCGCCGTTTACTCGGCCCCCTTCCGGCCCTTGGCGCCACTCCTAGCCCTTGAAGTAGTAGGCTTCTTAATGTGGTGCGCAGGAATCCAGCTCTCATCGTACTTTCCCGACTGGGCGAGCGGCGGGGTCGGTCTGACCAACTTTGGAGCATCGGACCTGCTGCGCTTGGTTATGGGTATGACGCTGGCAAGCCAAGTATTGTAGACAAAGTATCCGGCATAAGCGACTGTAACGGCGAGGATGAGGTACAGGAACAACCTAAATAGGCACCCACAATTAGCCCCCAAAAATGCCCGAGGAGAGAAGGCCCAGGGGAAGGGAAACTCACAGCTGTGGATCCAAAAGCGAAGTTGGCGCCTCAACCACAGCGACAGTCTGGTTATACGCGGAAACCGTGATAATCTCCCCCTCGTGCCTCAACACCATGGCAAGATTGAGCAAGATCTCCCTAGGGTGCATCTCGTTGACAAACTCGTAGGGTATCTCAATCTTCTGACCTTTGGGCACCTCCAGGCTACCCAGCTTCTTGCTCGTTAGATTCCGCGCGGCAACATCTTTTCCCGAATCCCAAAGACTCCCGCCGACGGCCTTCACAAATATCGGTGAATCCTCGAAATTTGCCAGGCTGAAGGACACGTGTGTTGGGATGCCGTTCACGAGCTTCACGCTCGGGTTGCCGGAGCCAACGGTGACTAGCTCATTCGGGACGTCCGGGAAGTGAACTTGGAGGGTTAAGTTTAGCTTGCGTTGGGTCGAGGGGTCCGGGTTGACGGTGTTGCTACCGAAGAGTTGGGCGCTCGCGATCAGCGGCAGGAGCAGAGCAGCGAGGGCACGCATTTCATCAAGGAGGGGGGGGGGGGGCGTTTAATTGAGGGTCGCTTAGTGGATGGGTGTTTAAAATTATGGTATGGTAGATTGATGAAGGGAAGAAGGAGAGGAAGGGGGTGTAGGGCTCGTCTCGGAGGTGGGAAGAAAAAAAAAAGGGATGAGGAGAGAAGGAGGCTGGAGGCCACATCGCTTTTTCTTTCTCTTGTTCTGTCTGCTTCTGAGGTGCCCCTGTGTTTTCAAATTGATGAGGTAATTGCCAAGATTTCCTTCCCCGTCAGTGAGTAATTGTGGTATCATAAAAAGAGGGAACCAAGCACAGTAACGCCATACGACATCCCCAACTGTCAACCCCAAACGAGCGTCAATCTAAATCAAACACTGAATAATTACCCGAGCGTTCTCCAATTACCACACTCGATTGGACAAAAAAGTAATTCTTCGAATAGTTGATAACATTCCTTAGCATCCTATCATATGGCATCCCCCGCATTGGGTTATCACCAATCTCAACCGCTCCCCACAGCCCAGAGGTGCCCCATACATAGTTAGAATACCACCATCTGTTAATTGCGCATACCACCGTGACTAGCGCACAGGGTATTCGCAATGGGGAAGAAAAAACACACGGTTGGACAGGTGGGTTGGGTATATAGCCGAGCGGTGACAAGGGGAAAAAAGGGAAGAAAAAAAAAATATTATCCACGACGTTAGCCAGACGAGACGTGGCCGAAGCTCCGGTGGAAGAAAAGAAGTGAGACTGAAAAAGAAAACCCCAAGATGCAAATATCCACTAAATAAAAGATATTAGCTTTTTTTTTTACAGGAAACCCCTTGCTTGCCGTCTCATTGGTTATCATTTAGGGAATACCGTGACAAGAGAAAAGAGGAAGAAAAAAATGACAAAAATACAGAATCATACTGCAAGGAAAGCACCAACACCACATAAATGGAAATAAAAGAGGAAGGGAAAAAGGGAAAGGGAGGAAAAGAAACAGCTCATAGTTATTACTCTAATTGCTCCTAATCTCTTATAAAACCAAACTCATAAAGCTCGCCAACAACACCGAACAGACAAGCATCCAGCAATCCCTGCCGGCAGCAGGCCCGCTCCCAAGGGACGTTTTTGGCTTCCCAGTATAGACTGTTTGGTTGGGTGCCTTGTCGGTGCCGGGTTGCTGCGAAAAGAAGTGTACAGTCCCAACCTTTGGCGACCCGTTCTGCTCAGGAATTGGGCATATAGCTTTGGAACCCCGCCGGTCCTTGCAACGATTCTTGTAGTCCTCTTGCCGAGATGGTAGCGAGGAATTGAAGTAACCTTTAACGTACGAGACAGTCATTTTCGCGTCCACCTCCGGAGGTCCGCCAGACCACAGGGGGTTTCCGTTGGACCAATGGGAAAGAATGATCTTCCCCGGGCTCTGTGGGATATATTGGCTGTTGGTTATATCGGCCATCCACTTGCTGTCCACGTAGAAGCTGACTCTGTCCGGTTGCCAGTCTAGAGATCCGAAGGATTTGATTAGCAGAGGAATACTCCCTCGTATTGAACAGGGATGCCAGTTGGGGATTACCGAAACGATATTCGTGGAAGTCTTGGTCCATTGGGAATGGCAGTGAGATGATCTTGAATGTTGGCGTGCTTTTGGCGTCGCCGCCTCGTTCCTGGGTCAGGAGGGAGTGAAGGACGAGATTGATGGAGGATGAGGTTGGCGTAAGCTGTGACGAGAGGAACTCGATATCAATTTCTTGGGTATCGTTCAGGTACCTATGAGGGAACCTTTAGGATGGCCACACACAAGACAAACATTGATCACAGATGGAGAAAAAGACCCACCAGAAGAATGCGCCACAGGTACCATTAATACTGGTAGTCTTGATACCAGCTCTAAAGGTTCCATACATCATATCCGTCCTCCTCGTGTCCGCCTCTGCCACGCTGATATCTTCCTCACCATCCTCCAGTCTCCTCACAAACAATTCCAGACCAGCAGGGTCCCCATTGACACCCTTAGCAGAGATATTATGCTGAACCGATGGGTTCGAAACAACATTCTGCGACCGAGTCCTGCGTCCGTACGGACCTCTAGAAGCCTCCCTGCCAACCTGCCAATCCTGCAGAGCCCAATCGGTATTATCACTGATATTTTGTGGAAGCGTAAAGTCCGACTCGATGAGATCCGTGAAGATGGTAGAATTCAAAGAATATCCACATTCGCAATCCGCTTTAAAATCCAATGTGAATAAATATATGCATCGGTGGAGAGAATGAAAAGCAAGATTTTATTCCTTTTCAGAGAAAAACAAAAAAACATACCATTAACAACCGGTCCCCCCATAAATCCCAATGCTACAAGAAGCAGCCAAGCCCGGAGGGTAGACATGAGAGGCAAGACAGAAATGGATTGCGATTAGAACAGTGAAGGGAGAGAGTGGGTATATGTTGGAATGTTTCGAGGGAAAGAATGAAAGGAAAAAAAAAAAAGAATGAAAAAGAGCGAAAGAAACAAAGCGAGACCCTTCTGCCAAAATGAGTGATTGGCGGGGGTGGACGGGCCCTTGTTTGCGGGCGATGGAGATATCAAAGCGAGTTGGAGAAAGGGTGGAGCGGAGTGGAATGGAGTTGATGGATACAAACGAAAAGAAACTAAAGAGCGTAGAGTTATGATATGCGGATGCAAGTGAGGGAGCGTGATTCACAAGGCCGGTGTGAAGGGTGTGAGAGAGGGCGGTCGGCGGGTCCGTCAGTCGTTGATGATGCTAGGGGGGAAGGGACAGCCGGGCACAAGGAGGCCAATAGGTGCAGCGGTGTCGGGGGTGCGAGTGCGATGTGTAAGATTGCCAGTCAGTGCGCTTTGGGAGAATATTGCAAGCGCATCCCTCCTTCGTCCACCGTTGCTGCCTACGATAGAGTTCAGTTGGCTCCTATTGTTTGCTCCCCTCCCTCGGTTCCCTCTCTCCCTCCAATTCTCACCAATTCTCACCCTTGTGGCCCCAACAGCCTCTACGCCTTCCCACAATTCCCAACCACGAATTGTTGACACTGAGGCGGTTGAAAGCAAAAGATGATTGACCTGCGTGTTGCTGTAAGTCTCGGGGTATCCGGGCCCACTGTTTTCTCCGTACGCGCTGCGGAAGATGTGAATATGTGGGTTGAAAGGAAAGGGGAAAAATGGAAAAACACTCAACCGGAGGTCGCAGAAACCAGATCCTAGGCCTGACCAGCTTGTTCATTTATTAGAATGACTCTAAGGTCACGGGTCGCATCTTGGCCGTACGGCACGAGTGCGATGGGAATTGGAAAATATCATACGATAAACAAGCAAAAGTTGAATGGAACAAGATAACAAATGAAGAGCCCCGTGTCACGACTCTGAATAGACCTAGCCTACCGGATACTGTAGTACTCGAGTGCTGGCACACTTTCTAGTTGACTACTCACCAGCTGCTGGTGTTCCTGGTTAGTGAAGAAAGAAACCCGTCCCAAAGGCTCCCGCTGCGACTTCGTGGGGGGACAAAAGTGGTTGAAGTTCCCTGTTCCTGACTTAGAGCCGAGACATATGATGCTCCCTTATCGTAGTGGTCCTCGTACAGTACATCGTACAACACGATTGGCCCCATGACATCCCCTTTCTGCGATGGGACAATGAATTCTTCTCAACCGGTCGGGTTAGCGTGTCTTGCGACCGCAGCGCTGCAAATGAAGCCATGCTTCTGGTGGCACGAGCCAAGAAACCGTGGAGCCCTCGGGCACCGTACTCGAGTGCTCAAGTACTAGTACTCGTACATTGAGTCGTGAAGTCTATTCTAGACCATCTCCCGCTCATCCACCCCTTCTGTGACTAAAGTGCTATGTAATCGCACTCTTCCCGGAGCGATTCCACCAACGGCGACTGTGGGCCGCCGAGTCTCGGTCCTCGCAGAAGCTACGGGGAAGCCCCAGGAACCCTGGGCGTTGTACAGTACCGTATCATGCAGACGGCAAAATGGTTATTCTTAAAGTGCACTCCCTAGCACTTTATATCACTGCCGTACGACAGACAGGCATTTGGCGGTGGGGAGAGTAGGGTACCGGTACGAGCACTCGCAACGGAACTGTGCGGCACTCGTACAGTACCGGTAACGGTTCGGTACTAGGTTAGTACGCAGCCGTTGAAGTCAACAACGGAATCGCAGATCATGCCAACTGCTTGGCTGTGGCGTTGAGGACTTGACCAATTAAAGTTCCCAGCTCCGCCAAGAGATTTCGCATACTTTGTACGGGTACTCGTACTCCAGTACCTTTGCCTCCTGCTTTGAAGGTTAATTTTACAATCAGGATGCGCCGAGGGATTAACTCCAGAGTGGCGTACTCGAGCACGGTGCAGGAGCACCATGAGGTACGGGAAGAAATGCGTATGTCCCCCCGGCCAGGAATGGAAAGACGGGCACAGCGGTAATCCATCGCACAGGTATCACTACCGATGGTACGAGTACCTGTACAGTACCGGTACCGTATGTACGAGTACTCGTGCTGTATTTAAAGTGCCGATGACACTCGAGCGAGTAGGACGGATACGATGCGAGTCGCGTGAGCGTTTGCCGGCACATGTGGTGCTGGAGTTCATCCTCTCTCTCTCTCTCTCTCTCTCCCAATAATACCGGTAGTCTAGGAACCTGTCGCGATGAGTCATACAGGTGGTCGTCACAAAGTACAGTACTGTACTTGTAAAAGTACCGTTACCCGAGCGCATGGATCGAGGTTTCATATGGCAAATTATCTACCCTCATTCACACTCAAATCTTCGGGCACTTCCCGAATACATATTCGAGTACTATTACTGTACCAGCACTTTTCGTTTGGATACATGATCCTTATCCGTAACCTTTTCCCCGAGACACTTTTTTCACCAGTGAGCTACTGTAGAGGGTGCTGCAGTCGTTACAGGGAAGAAGTATTGGAAAGCGGAGGGCCTATGCTGTAATGGCGAGCTTTGTTCCCGAATCGCTGATTTCGGGTATAGGACTTCTTGCCTGGGACGAGCGCTCAGTGAAGGCATTCTCTCGCTCCAGGTTCCAGACCAGCGAAATAGCCATCACAACATACCGGTGCTGTAGGTGAGCAGACAACACGGACATCATAGAACCGATTGCGAAAACTTATCTGACATGGATATGACGGTTCCGGGAACAATTTGTCGCACCTTTGATTTTTCTTTTTCTTTGGCGTCACTAGCTTGAAAACTCCAAACAAAGTCCGGGGTTGCCGGTTGCCCCACAACTTTGAAGTTCTGATGTCGCACTGGGTTTTTGCGCGCAGGTGGTTGAGCTGATGCTGTACTAGTACGGTATCATAGATAATGCCGGGGTCGCGAATGTTAGGGGGTAGCTAAAATTCCCGAATAGCCCCCAATTTCAAGCTAATAAACGCTAGTGAAAATCGAAACACTGAAATCGCTCCTGGAACCACAACACTTGCTTTAGTGTCTCCGAGTTGGAAGGAGCAATCCTGGCAGCTCAGAACCGCGAAATTGGGGGGCATTGGACGAAGACTCTTCATTTATTTGGGGGGGGGGGGAAAGGGGGAAACTGATTAGATACCAGCCAAACGAAAAACGTAAGAATGAGGGACAGAATATCTGTTTGACAGAATGTTTATCAGCAGAGAAGTTACGGGCACTGCATCAGAAAAATCAGGAAAATCACAGAGTGCTCCCTCGGATAATGCGGCCAAGAATCTAACTTGCCCTGCGCAATTACAAGTACAATACTAGCTCAAGCCAAGGGAGATCCCTCCCCCCAGGAAATATTTTGTCCGGCACTCCTCATACTAGTGGATATTGTGGATGTCTGTCATTATTTCAGGCAAGTCATGGAAATAGATCAGTATTTCGCATAGGGCAGTAGTTGGAGGTGACGGAAATCACATCGGAGGAGTTCCTACCTTCTTGGCTCCACCAGGGCATTCCCATTCGCCGTTGATCCGTTCAGCATCCACGACAGGTCCCCAACATTGGATCCGACCCAGGAACCCAGTCGTGTTAGTCCTCCGAGCTGCCTCGCCCCTCAAACCCGGATCATCTAAGTGAACTACCATAAGTGGCGGGAATGGCTGTCATACTATGTTAAATTACTGGTACAAGTATGATACTTGCACTGCACCCATACAAGCACGCAGAAGATGGCAGCCCTATCGCGTGAGGCACGTTAAACCTTGTCGCCGCACCAGAGGGAATTGCGGGTCCTCCACTATTATGATATGATAAAAGGTCCGGGGCGAAGTTCAGCGATTTCCTTAGCCAATAGATGAACATCTTCGGTCCAAAGAAATGAGCAGCCGCAACCTAAGCTCCCCCCCCCCATTGGGCCCTGCATATATAAATTATCTTTACCTACCACATTGTGGAGGTGTTGACAGTAAGTCTCATAGGTAACTACAGGTAAGTATAACCTGATGGGATTTCGATTGAGAGGTTTGCGATTGGGATGACGGGTTAAGTCGAACCTATTCCGACCGGTCGGATGGTGCTGTACAGTACTATGAGGGATTTTGAACGAACGACACCCGAATCAATCAATGTAGTGTCTACTGAAGATAAAGCACCACCACCGCAGCGTCGAACGGTATCATACAAGTAGGCAGAAGAGCTCCCAAACCGGTAGTAGAAATTTGTCGAAACCGTCCGCTTGGACGCCAAGCGGTTGAAACCGCTCATTTCTGGTATTCCAGCTCCTGTTCTTGCTTTTGGCAGGCGTCGTATGACCAGGATCACGAGAGATGGCAAGAGTGCATAAGTGGCGCATGCAACGGGATTACCCTCCTCTCGATACTTGAATCCGGAATTGGGGAGTACCGGTAATTTCCGTACCATGGATGGGCGGCGATCGTACTCGCCAGGGTGCATGGAGTGCGAAAGATACTCGTACGATTACGGTAATCACTTTGTGCTGGTTGCTGATAGTCACAACTACAGACACACTGGTGGCGAAGGAACACTTTTGCTAGGGACCTAAACGCGCACCTTTATTGTCCTGTGAAAATAGTTTTCTTGGTGCCTTAGGATCTTGTCTGGCAGTCGTCATTGGGCCGAAGAGAATGACGGGATAAAATCTGAATTTGAAATTTGTGTACGAGTACAGTATTTATTACCGATTCAGGAAGGACCCTTTTCAGATCTCACCCTTTTCCTATTGTAAGACATCTTGGACACAGCACACGACGGACTGAGGGATAGGTCACTCCACTATAATTGAGGGGTGATGGGATAGGCGCTGGTAAGCCGGATACCGCTGTATAGAGAGATAAGAGCAACCTGAAATTTCCTCTGCCATCCGTCTGAAACAGTAAAGATTCACACCCAGGCACACTTACTCCAGATCGGTAAGCAGCTAGCTATTTCTGTTCACAAATTTAGCCTTTTCAGGATTCAAGCGGCACAGCACCTTAGTAACCGCCAAATAATCTCACCATCGAATGTCTCCCTAAATAGGATCGGCCTGCTGGCTAAGAATCTCGCTGTTGTAGACTGCTCAAGGGTTATCCTTAGGGGAGCGTATCCGGGTATGCGAAGGTACGGTAGCCGAGGAATTGTCCGTATCCAATACCGGTAGGTAAACAACGTTTTAGAACATGAGCCTTTCTTGGATATTATTACCGTCATACAAAATATTGCAGCAGAATTCGAGAAATTAAAGTTTTAGCCTATAATCCTTTGAGAGCACCAGATGGGGTTATATGGAGGAGATTGTACGAGCACTTTCAGTCTGGCTGTTTTTCCTCAATAGAGAATCCAAGCGCTATTGGTATACTAGTAGTCCGTCTGAGACTCAGGCTTCCAATCCCGTAACAGAGTAAAATGTCTTATGGAACATTTTACTTGATAATCCATCTTAGACAAAGTCACATGAATTAGAACTGTTCCTAATTTGTATTACCATTCCCCAGCTACAGCTGGAAAAAACATTCTTCTTGTACTGGGCAAGCCCAAGCATGATGGCAAATTATTGCTATCCATTTTCAGCATAATATTATTTTTACCACGCCGTCTACCCTGCCAATGAATCCCTATTTCAATTTTGAAGCCGTTTGTACTCAGCATGAAGCTACCCAGTCTATTCCACTTCATCCCCTTGCCAGCTTTTTTAAACCCAGTTATGCGGGACCACTTCGGACGTGAGTGATTTGGGCACCTTACTTCAGCCACTTGCGCATTCCGAAGAGGCATTTTGAAAAAAAAACCCCATTTTTTTCGCCAACCGATCAGCCCCTCCCGCTGTTGGCAAATTCCATTAGCCGAACCACAGCTTTCTCAGCCACTAATCCCGCATGGAACTCATTCCGACAGCCTACTTGCTGTTTGGGCAGAACTCCGATTCTGGGGTTCTTCCCGCGCGT